AAGAATAAAGGTGATGTCCAGAATTGTAACAACTATAGAGGAATCAAGCTAATGTGTCATATAATGAAAGTGTGGGAGAGGGTGATAGAACGCCGATTGCGAGATATAACAGAGGTGTCAGAGAATCAATTTGGGTTTATGCCTGGTAGGTCAACAATGGAAGGGATCTATCTTTTGAGGAGAGTAATAGAAAAGTATAAAGAAAAGAAAAGAGACATTCATATGGTGTTTATCGACCTTGAGAAAGCATATGACAGAGTGCCCCGAGATATAATATGGTGGGCGTTAGAGAAGAAAGGGGTGACAAAAGGCTACATTGACGTGATTAGGGACATGTATGAAGGGGTGGTGACCACTGTTAGATCGCCAGCTGGAGAAACAAATGAATTTCCTATCACTGTAGGGTTACACCAAGGATCTACCTTAAGTCCTTATCTTTTTGCTTTAGTTATGGACGAGTTGACGATAAATATTCAGGATGACGTGCCATGGTGTATGCTTTTTGCAGATGATATTGTGTTAGTGAATGAGACTAGAGAAAGAGTTAACACAAAGTTGGAGATTTTGAGAAAAGCTCTTGAATCTAAAGGATTCCGGATAAGCAGAACTAAGACAGAGTACATGGAGTGTAAATTTAGTAACAGTAACAATGAAAGTAGGGGAGAAGTGAAGATTGAGAACCAAGAACTGTCTAAGAGTGAACATTTTCGTTATTTAGGGTCGATTATCACAACAACGGGAGAGATTGATGCAGATGTGACCCATAAGATTAAGGCAGGATGGTGTAAGTGGAGAAGTGCGTCTGGGGTATTGTGCGATAAACGAATACCCACTAGACTAAAAGGTAAGTTTTATAGAACGGCTATTAGACCAGTTATGTTGTATGGGACATAGTGTTGGGCAACCAAGAAACAACATGTAGATAAGATGAGTGTGGCTGAGATGAGGATGCTAAGGTGGATGTGTGGTAAGACTAGACAAGACAGGATTAGGAATGAGTGTATTCGGGAATGGGTAGGAGTAGCATCGATAGAAGATAAGTTGAGAGAGAATCGTTTGAGATGGTTTGGTCATATTCAACGGAGACCAACAGAGGCAGTAGTGAAGAGATGCGATGCTGTAACGGTAGATGAAAGTGTTAGAGGACGGGGTAGGCCTAGATTAACGTTGACTAGCGTTATAAATAGAGATATGAATCTACTTAATTTGACTAATGAAATGGACTTTGATAGGGCCGCGTGGAGAAGAAAGATTCATGTAGTCGACCCCATTTGATGAGATTTAAGGCTTGATTTGGTATTTAAATTATAAAGATGAGCCCAAAGTAACCCCTCTTTAAGGCATAACATGGATCCAACTTCATGTCTGGATGTTGTTTTTGTTTTTGAGCAAAAGTGTCTATTGTGATATTTTTTTTTCTCTCTCCATACATTCTAGATGGAAACAAAAATTTGGCTATCTGATTATTTTGAACAATCTCAATTTGACTACTGCTACTATTATTAGCTGTCAGATCCTCATGAACATGATTGCCTAAATTTACATGAATCTTTATATGTTTCATTTCTTATTATTATATTTTAAAGGATCAATTACACTTTAAAAGGTTAATTACAGAGTTAATTGCTCCAATTACACTTTTTCCTTATGATCTAACCTAAAAACACAACTTTAATTACATTTTAAAGGGTTAGGTGTTTTCTACAAGACCATATGAGTATGTAATTAACCTTATTTCGAATTTATTATCTGTTTGCTTTTAAAAAAAATTTACATGAATTTTGTTTATACTACTTTAATATCTTTAACTCAGAGCTCAACAGAACTGTTTAAAATATGTGTGGTAAACCTATTGGTCCTCAAAGGCCGAACGGCCAAGTTTGTGAAGACTAAATAAGTGTACTTTTTGACTTTTTTTGTATTATGTGTAGAAAAAGTAGAGATGAGATGTTGATTGATGTGACCCAAAAAAGATAAAAAGATGAAATAAGTGCACTTTTTTAGGTTAGCCAAACTTGGAAATAAAATGTGGAGAGAAGGTGAGGATTGCGATGTCGGTACCGGTGAGGGATCGGAGTTGTCGGGCTTTGTTGAAGAGACCATGACGTCTCTTGTTTTTTTTTTTTTTTTTTTTTTAAACATACATATTCCCCACTTGCAAGTGCCAGACATGGATGAATTTATTTGTGCCATAGCTATTCTCAATAAAAAATATCTTTGAAAAAATGTAAAATCAATTCATAATAATGTGATGAGTATTTTTATTTAATTTTTTTCATTTTAAAACAAAAACTCATCAAAGTGGCTTGTATTTTCTAAAATTCCAATGTCACAACATCCTTGTGAAAAAAGTTAGTATAAATATTTTGTACATATATCATTTGTGAAATGCTAATGAAACAGAATTTTTATGCAAGATTATGTAGGATGGCATTTCTGTAATTATATGTCCTTGAAATAGACACTTTGTTCTAAAATGATAAGTCAAAAGCCACATCATTCAATATTTATTTGTAATTTTATCTTAAAATATCATAACATATATCAAATCTTATCTTACCAAATTGAGATTTTATATGAATTTTTGTTGTAAGGTTTTCTTTAGTTAAGATTAGTAAATATTATATTTTTTTTAAAAATAAATCGAACAAATTTTAACATATATATTTTATTTATCAATATCTTAATATCAAATGTTACATTACACATAGTAATATATGTGATTTATATGTGCATTATTAGAAAATTTAATGTGAATTTCACGTTATAATTCCAAACGAGTTTGCACACGCATCGCACGTGTGCCCAACCGCTAGGTCACAAAAGCCACATCATTCAATATTTATTTGTAATTTTATCTTAAAATATCATAACATATATCAAATAATTAATAACTTTTCTCATAAAAAAAAATCACTCTGATTAATTTCAGTTTTCAAAATTCACTTTTCAAAAAATTTTACTTTTTCATTTTTCGTATTTTTTTATTCGCTTAATTTTTTTAATATTTTAAGTAATTTTTTTAATTTTTAGACTTAACATAAATACACTTAAAAGTATAATATTTTTGGAAAAAACTTTTAAAAATTCACAAAATACCAAAAATATAAAAAAAATGAAAATTCAATATATTTTTCGTATTTTGTGTATTTATTAATTTTTTAAAATATTTTTTCACAAATATTTTACTATTTAGATATATCTACGTAAGGTGTATCTAAAAAAATAAAAATAAAAAATTGCTTAAAATTTAAAAAATATTCGCTAAAAGCAAAAAAATATGAAAAATAAAAACACTTAATTTTTAAAAAACTGAATTTAAAAAATTGAAATCAAATACACTGATTACATTAAAAAAGAGTGCACATTGAAAATTTCTCTCACTAGAGATATAATTATTTTTTTATTTTTTGTTGTCAGGTACTACCATCTTTAAGGGAAAAGAAGGATGAGAATTTGTTACAAGAACTAGCAAAAAGATGGAATAACACAAGGTTATGACTCACCGGCTCTCAAGATTTTTAAAATTTTTTGATAGATACCTCACCGCAATCAAAAGACTACCCAAACTGCTAGAGACTAGCTTCATTTTTTTTTTTGATCAACAAAAGTAAAACTTTATTGAATTAGAACCAAGGAAAAAATCCTTACATCTGACATCAATAAAGGATCAAAAAAGGCCGTGCTACTAGCATCATAGTGAACTATACTTATCCCAACTAGGTTGGCACAAGAAAGCCACCCAATCATGTGCTAACACAAGCCAAAAGCTAGTTGGAGAGAGACCAACCAGCAGAAACCAAAAAAGAAACAAGAAGCAAAATAGACACCAAGAAGAACAACACAACAACAACTAGATAGCAGCAACCACTGTAACCCAGAACAAAGGGAAAGGTAGCAACAACCACAACTCAAAGCCCCCTGATAGATTTCAAATTAAAGAGCAAGTCATTTACTGAGAAAACCACCCCCTTAGAATGGTACTTAACCAAGAGAGCAATATGCATCTTAATCGATTCACAGACACCACACCAATTTACCTGTGAACCAGAAAATTTAATTTCATTCCTAGCCTTCCACACAAACCACATGACCACAAATGGCAGTGCATTCCACATACACTTGAGCATTTTCTTAAATTTAAAACCACCCCACCAATCCAAAAGCTGAGATATACTATGAGGCATAACCCACACCAAGCTCCACCACTTAACCACTTTAGACCAAATGCACCAAGCAATAGGTGCATGAGGAGTTTTAGTAGATCTATTAGGCCCCAACCTGGGCTGAATTTAGAAGTCGTGTTGGGTGAACCTACTTTTGTTAGGCCTTATCTTGGCAATAGGTGCACTATTACTGATATTGAGGAGGTGGCCCATAATTTGTTGGTTGAGCCTCTTAATATTGGGGAAAATTTTAAGGCAGGGCTCATAGAGGAAGCTCCAGTTGGGTCGGTGGAAGAGGATATATCTGGAAGCACTAGTAGTGCTAAGATCACTGCCAATCTGCAGACCAAATCAGAGATTAGGGATGTCAGGAAGAGATGCAAGAATTCAGTTCCAGTAGAAGTGTTCAAGGGCGCTTTGAAATATGCTAGGCAGAGGAGCCGTAATCAGTTGTCCACTTCTAAGAAGGGAGCCTCTCTAAAAGTTGCGATTGCGATGTTTTCTTTGGCTTCTTCTTCTGAGTTGGGGCCTAGCAGTGGTCGAATTATTCTTAATGAAGCTCAAGCAACTGTGCAGTTGGGTAAAGCTTTAGGCATTGATTTTGATGATCAGGAGGATGCTGTGCTTAACAGAATCGCTGATCTGGAACGGCAAGATGTGGCAAGAATCGAGTAAAGGAGGCACCAGCAAATCAGGTAAGTTTTTGATTGTTTTGGGAGTGCTGGAGTTTTTTATTATTTTATCATGCATCTTCTGTCCTGGAATATCCGAGGTTTGGGGAGGGAGATTAAAAGGAGGAAAATTAGGAAAGTCCTTAAGGATGAGAAAGTAGACATGGTGTTTTTTCAAGAAACCAAGAGAGATGTTATTAGCTCTGATATGGTGAGATCCGTTTGGCCTTTTGATAGATTTGAGTTTTTGGATGTTGGTGCAATTGGCTTTGCTGGTGGTCTTTTGTGCGTTTGGAATCCAGGAGTCTTCTCTTTTCATAGTAGTTGCTGTTCTAGGAATTTTATTAAGATGAATTCTGAGTTTGAAGGCGTATTAGTAAACCTCTATGCTCCTAATGATGTTGTAAAGAGAAGGGACTTATGGGATTTGGTCATCAGAATCAAGCCATTGTTTCCCAAACCTTGGTGCATTGGGGGCGATTTTAATGAGATTAGGTGTATGAGTGAGAGGATTGGTTGTTCCAGGAGAAATGTGGGTATGCAGGACTTTAATGAGTTCATTGACAAGCTTGAAGGGGTGGAGCTATCAATGTTAGGGAGAAGGTTCACTTGGAGCAATTCCACTGATAACGGTAAATGGAGTCGCATTGATAGGTTCATATTAGACTTTGATTGGCTTGCTGTTTTCAATTTTAAATGTTGGGGGCTGCCTAGGTCTGTGTCTAATCATTGTCCTATTATTATGAAGGAAGATAGTAGGGACTGGGGTCCTAAACCTTTCAGGTTCATGAATTGTTGGGTTCTCCATTCTGTGTTTCTGCCTATGGTTGAAAAGGTTTGGATTGAAGCAAAGGTTGATGGGTGGGCTGGTTTTAGACTGTCCAAAAAGTTGGATTTTTTTAAAGAAGCATCTTATGGAGTGGAATGTATCCGTTTTTGGTAACCTTACATCCCAACTGAAACTTGTTGAGGAGGAGTTCCATCAGCTGGACCTACTAGCTGAGTCTAGAGAGTTGTTTGCAGCTGAGTTATCCAGAAAAGCAGAGTTGAGGGAGCTAATTTGGAAGTTAAGTAAGAGGGCAGAGTGGTTTTGGCTTCAGAAATCCAGACAAAACTGGGCTCTCAGAGATGATAAAAATACAAGGTATTTCCATTTGATGGTTAAATGTCGGCAGAACATTAATCTCATTAACTCAGTGGTAGTAAATGGAGTGGTGGTTGATGATCCACTAGTAGTTAAAAGCCAGGTCTGGAATCATTTTAAGAGTGCTTTTTCAGAATCATGGAAGGTTAGGCCAAAATTAGGAGGGGTTTTTCAGACCTTAGATGGTTCCTAAGTTCTTGATCTTGAAAAGGAGTTCTCAGAGTCAGAGGTTTGGAGTGCTCTGAAGGCTTGTGATGGGAACAAGGCCCCTGGGCCAGATGGTTTTAACCTTTTGGCTATTAGGAAGTGCTGAAAATTTATGAAAGGGGATATCATGCTATTTTTTAAAGAGTTTTTTGCTAATGGAAAGTTGGCCTCTGGTCTTATTTCTTCCTTCATTGCTCTCATCCCCAAGTCTGAGAACCCAAATAGCCTCAATGATTATAGACCAATTAGTCTTATTGGTTCCATGTATAAGATTCGTGCCAAAGTGTTATTTGGCAGGCTGAAACTTATTATTCCATCTATTATTAGACCTTCCCAATCAGCTTTTATGGGGGGAGATTCATTCTTGATGGGGTGCTTGTTGCAAATGAGGTGTTGGATTGGTGGAGGAGTAAAAAGAAGAAAGGGGTGATTATTAAAATTGATTTTGAGAAAGCATATGATTGTGTAAATTGAAATTTCTTATTTAATCTAATGGAAAGTTTTCATTTCGGGCTTAAATGGAGGAATTGGATCAAAAGCTGCTTTACCAAGGCTAGAATTTCTGTTTTAGTTAATGGAAGCCCTACAGATGAGTTTGTTCCTGAAAGGGGTTTAAGGTAAGGGGATCCTCTCTCCCCTTTTTTATTTAATATGGTTGTGGAAGGTCTGAATATTTCGATTTTGAGGGCTAGAGAGTTGGGAGTCTTCAAGGGGGCTGTTATTGGGAATGATTTGGTAAAAATGTCACACCTTCAATTTGCAGATGACACCATCTTGTTCTGTGAGGCCAATCAGGAGGAAATTCTTTGTATCAAGAGGTTGCTTCGATGTTTTGAAGTTGTTTCTGGTCTAAAGATTAATTATAGTAAAAGTTCGGTTATTGGTGTTGGTGTGGAGGAGGTTTTTCTAGATCCAGTTGCTGATATCCTTAATTGTTCCAAAGGTGTGCTCCCTATTTCTTTTTTGGGTCTACCTCTTGGTGCTAGCCCTAGACTTAAATCAACTTGGGCCCCTATTGTTAGGAAGTTTAAAGTTAAGCTTGCCAGCTGGAAGAGAAGGCATTTGTCTTTTGGTGGCAGATTATTTTTGATTAAATCTGTCTTGAGTAACCTCCCTGTCTATTACTTATCTTTGTTTAAGATCCCTGGAGGAGTTGCTAGAGACTAGCTTCATGACCTTCTATGAACTGGTTGGTAATGCTACTAATTATATATTTTTGACATAGAATTAAAGGGTTACTTAGACTTATATGTGCTTGAATTATAAATTTAAATAGAAATTTGAAAAGGAGAAAGAAAAAGATGAGGGAAATATAAGGTATTTTTTTCTCTATTTGTCTTTTCCTTTCTCTAAATTCTATCTAAATTCATGATCCAAATACAACTTTAGTATTTATGTATTTTTATTAAAATCTTATTTTGGTCCATTTATTATTAATTGTGATAATCAACATTTTACACTTTAAGTCAACTTAAAATGTTATTATTTCGTTCACCTATCATTTGTGAGGCGGACAAAAATTAAAAATGGAAGGTCAAGACTCAAAAGTGAGTTTTTGGTGAAAGTGTAAAGATTAAAATGAGATTCTAGTAAAAGTGTAGGGGAGCAAATGAGGATATGAAAATGGTATGTGTCACTTACATAATAAGTTCTGTTAACCTTATGATTAGACTTAAAGTGTGAGAGGTTAATTGTCACAATTGAAAATAAATTATCTAAAGTGTTAAATTAGTAAAAGTGTAAGGGTACTCCGTGTAATTAACTAAAGTTAAGTTACCGAAAAATATCAAGAATGAATATGTTAACATGTTGATACCCACTTCTAATAAAAATTATGAGAATGTTGGTAAATAAAAACACTCAGGTACACCCCATCGTGTAAATACATTCTTGATATATTTTTTAAATTTAATTATGTGTATGTAAATTCGCTCATTTTTTAGTGAGGTAATGCCATTTTTTGTTGTTAAAAGTTGTTTGGTTTTCTACATAAATTATTCTAACAAATTTTTTTTCATGTTTAGGTTTAGGGGGAAATGAATGATCAAGTGAGGGATGTTGTAATATCTATGGTATGTTTTGTTTCACAATATTTGAAATGAATGTAATTGTATCCTCATTGTAGTTTAACAAGGCTAATTGTCTTCCTTTTTTTTCTTTTTTTTCCCCCCTTACACCTCACCAAATTTAGCCTTCATGATTGCCTTTTTTTTTTTTTTGTCCCTCACGATTTTGTCTTTCACCTTACTAATTCTCCCAATACATGTAACCCATCTATCTCATATATATCTAGTAATTATCGGATCTAAGTCTTGGGATGACCTCAAGGAAAAGTGGAGAATGAAACTTTTAACCATTAGTCTACCTTGATGTTTGAATCTATAACTTTTCATATGAGAATCACAAGTCTCAGTACAATTTAAATCCTTACTTTTTACTTGATTTTGGTTGGGAAGGTTCACCTAGCCATCCTTTAAGTTGTATTTAAATTTTAAATTTGATGAGAAATTTTGTAAAGGCAAAAAGAAAACAAGGGAAAAAAAAAAGAATTTCATTTACAAATTCAAAATTTAAACATCTCCACCACCACCACCCATTGAAAAAGAGTTTAATAAAGTAAATGGTTTGGCGAGATTAATTTGTCAATCTCATACCTTATTCAATCCAGTTGCTTAATACTATTATTAAATGGTTGCTGGATTAAATTATCTTAATACATAAACAGTTTAGACCCGTCCATGTGATATGTTTCTGATTGATCAAGAGCGCGAAGGAGAGGAGATTGATCAAGCATTAGTGAAGAATGTTTTGGATATCTACACAAAGATGGGAGAGGGCTCTATTGAACACACAATTGTTCCTGAGCTTCCAAATTGACTACAAAACAAGTGTTAAGGCATTCCATATTTGGAGTTCCTTCTTCCTGATTCTAGTGCCAATCCACCAATCAAATAAGTCCACCACAGAGCCTGGGCATGCCCAGTATAAACCCCACAGAGTTTCTTGTTACTTGCAACACACAAGCCAACATAAGTTGTTGGGGGTCTTTGCAGCTTCAAAACCTTGTGCAAAAATTACTATTATAATATTTTTCTTTTTTTTCTTCTTCTTTTTATTCTCTAAATCACCTGAGAATGGAATTTAAGAACTTGCTTATTAGAAAATCCTATTCTTTCAAAAGTTTTACACATAATTATAATTATCTATTCAAATGATACGACAACAATATTTTTATAATTGACACATTTTGATGGTTTCTTTTTTTGTTTTTTTTTTTAAATGATGCACCCACGACTTAACAATATCATTCTGTATAATATTTTGTTTGTAAAGGTAACAATATACAAATAAAATTTATATACACAATGATGTGTCGTGCACATATATATTCACTCTTAAAAGTAAAGAAATTCATCATTTTAGTTCAGAATTATAAAAATGTCATTGTCACAACATTTTATACAGAAAAAAAAATTTAAATGTTGCCAATATAATTTCATTGAAATTTAATTTGAAACTGCATGTTGTTTCTCATTCTCAGTTCTTGTTTTTTATCACAGGTTGTAGAACATGAATTGCTCTTTGTATTTGCAGAGAAAAAACAACTTGATAGTGAGACTGCATAAATTGATGAGTGGGCCATCTATTTTTTTCCTTTCATTGCTTTTTTTATTTCTTCTTCCCTTTTTACTTTGGTGGGTGATATTGAGAATTGTTTATGTCATTGAAGGACTAAAGTACAATAAAACCAAAATTTCTTGAAGCTTTAAAGCACAAAGTGCAAACAGCAATGTAATAAATAAATGCACAATTGTGCAATTTTATATGTAATTTATGTCATTTTAGTTGCGTCTTGATTTGTATTATTTGATTTAGCTGATTTTTAGAGTAGGTTTTGTGATGTGGTAAAGTTGCTATTAAAATAATATTGTACTGTAGACACCCCATTTTTGACCGACCTTAAGACTCAGACGTCACCGATTGAGCGCTTGGTGATGTTGCATTTTGTGTTCGTTCAGAAGTTTCAGAGTCGCGGCCGTGAGCCCTGCCTCCGGACTTCTGAACCCTCTTCTGTGCGTCTTGATTTGTATTATTTGATTTAGCTGATTTTTAGAGTAGGTTTTGTGATGTGGTAAAGTTGCTATTAAAATAATATTGTACTGTAGACACCCCATTTTTGACCGACCTTAAGGCTCAGACGTCACCGATTGAGCACTTGGTGATGTTGCATTTTGTGTTCGTTCAGAAGTTTTAGAGTCTCGGCTGCGAGCCTTGCCTCCGGACTTCCGGACTCTTTTGTGCTTTGAACCGGTTTGCGAACCAGGCTCGGTTTCTCTTTTTTCTCTTCGCGAAGGAAGGGAGAGGTCTCGTAGGTCATCTCTCAGTGGCCGTAGGCTACGTTTTGTGGTCGTAGGCCATTTTGCCCGTTTGGAGTCCGGTTTCCGATTTTTCGGGCCGTAGCCGTGCCGTGTGCCCTTTCGGAGCGCTACCACTCCATTTGCTTTCGATTTTTGGCACACTTCTTATTTGCTCCCTTTTTGAGGGACACTGAGGTCTGAGAGACCCACTTCGTGGTCGAATGCCACTTTCGGTGCTTAACAGGCAGTTTTCAGGGGCCCCAAACTGCGCGTTCGGCGCCCCGAACATTCGTTTGCACGGTTTTCGTTCACTTTTGGCAGGTACCTCTGTTTTCATCACCAGGAAGGCCGTAGAAGGGTGGGAGGCCGCAATTGTTTCAGCAACCAGTTATATTCCTCCGGCGCCCTCCGACGCCTGTTTTTCTCACTTCCAAGCTAATGTTGAACAACCTTGGGCCATTTTCTTGAACTTTTAACCACATATTTGTGTTGTGCACACATGGGAGGCCACCAATATCATATGGTCGGCCACTAATGTTGCTTGACCCTTTTGAACCCCTCCTAAAAGTGGGTTGTTCTCTCTCCTGGGTCACTTTTTCCAGTGTTTGACCACATGGTTGTGTTGTGCACACATGGGAGGCCACCAATATCATATGGTCGGCTACTAATTCTCATTGACCTTTTTGACCCTTGGTCGGCTGGCCATAAGAGGTGGCCGGCCGGCCACCTGCAGCTTGGATAATTTGCCGGCCATGATCCTCAGGGTTGGTACATTACAAATATGTATTCATTTTCCCCGGATTTGGTATCCGGGAGGGGGTTGCCTTTTTGGAGGGAAACTTGGTTAGTTTTCCCTCCATTTTCCCCCCCTTTTCCCCCCCTTTTTGCCTTTATAACAGCAGCTCCAGCTGCTGGTTTGGGGTTGGAAAAATTACCTAAAAGCCTTGTATACACATCTCCCTCCATCTCTCTCTTTCAAGCTCAAACAACCAAGTTCTACCCCTTTTTCTTCATCACTACCTAGCATCACCTCCACTACTCCATTTCCAGCAGCTGGAGGCTCTTCTTCAAGGCCTAGGAGTGCTACATCTCAAGCCAAAAGGGTGCCAAAGTCAAGTCTTCAAGGGTAAGCTCCATTTCCCCTCTTTTGGTCCATATTTTGTTCAATACATAAGTCATACATGCTTGTTTTTTTGAGCTCCGGCCCTAACTGAAAGTGGCATTTTTTTGAGCTCCTTTTCACTTTTGTTTAAGGGTCCCTCACTGTTTGAGGCCCCCTTAATGCACTTGCTTCATTATCCTTCTTATATGCCATTATCTTGTGTAATATTTTTGACCTGTGTAAAAACTGTTTTGAGCTCTGTCATGAACTAAAAAGTTGCTTATTTTGAGCCCTTCTCCAACATTGTTGAGGGCTCATTGCTGTTTGAGGCTTCTATCTTCCACTTGCCTTTATATCTCCATTTTGGCTCCATTTTTGCATGATTTGTTAGCCTATTGTGCTTCTGGTTTTGGGCTCTTTTCAGAACTTAAAACAGTCTTATTTTGACCCATTATTCATGTTTAATTAAGGGTCTTTCATGGTTTGAGGCATATTTTATATACTTTGTGTTATATCTCTCTTTTTGGCCCCATTTTGCATAGCATTTTGGACATATTTGCATACTGTTTTGGGTCCGGCCATCAACTGTAAAATGCATTATTTTTGGCCCCTCTTCAACATTGTTGAAGGGCCTCTTTGTGTTTAAAGCCAGCAACCACCACTTGCTTCTTTGGCCATCTTTTGGTCCATTTCTTGCATGAGAGTTT